CAGCCCTCTCTAAGAGGTTTACAGCCTATTGCCCCCAACAATTTGGGTCCTCATTTTAACAACCTCGGAAGGTTGGAAGGCTGAGTCAACCTTGAGCCTGGTGAGATTTGAACTGCTAAATTGCAGGCAGCCAACAGTCAGTGTTACTGCACTCTAACCATTGCGCCACTGAGGCTCTTCTAGTACAGAAGTCAGACATGGTGTGAACTGGAAAATAGCAATAGCACTTAGATTTATATAGCACTCCACAGTGCTATGAGCAGGTTATAAATGTCAGCATCTTGCCCATCAACAATCTGGGCCCTCATTTTACTGACCTCAGAAGAAAGGAAGGCTCAGTCAACCTTGAGCACATCAAGAATGACTGCCGTACTGTACTCTAACCACTGTGTCACTACAGCTTCTCTTTTAGTCCCTGTTGGAAGTTGATGGAGCTTGCAGGTTTTCTTTACCTGTGCATGATGGTTACTAATATGCAGGGAAGATGCCATATTCAGTTTTTCCAGCACTTCCCTTCTGAACATCAGAGGAATTCTTGCCATTTACTAATTGTCATCCTCTGATTATATGGTGGGGAATGGAAAGATTTAAACTCCTTGCAAACAGCTGATCCTTTGTATTCCATTCCCTACCATTCAGTCAGAGCTGAAGAAGCTTCTTGGATCAGAAGCGAAACATCTTCAAAGAGAAACCAGAAAGTCCAGTTGCCTCTTGGGCCAACCATGACCTGGATGACTGAGAATCTCCACAGACATGCTGGAGAACTTGGAGGGTTTTGGATTTGCCCAATTTCTCTGGAGTTTTTTTGGTGCTCTCTGATCTTGGTTGTTTTCCTGCAGATGTTTTGTTGCCCAGCTAGAAAGCCTCATCGGTGCTCCACAGTTCAAGCCTGAGCTACATAAATTCTCTTCACTCGGAACCTACTTTCTCTGCGTACAAATGTGGTGAGGAATTTCAGAGGCTTATTTAGCATTCTAGCTAGAAGAAAAATACAAGTGTCACTTGTATTATTCCTTTGATGTTACTGTATTTTATATACAGCATAACCTGTAGGGTATTAATAATGGAAGCTTTGCCGTTCAGGTGAAATCTGACTCTTCCCCCCCCTCCTAAACGTGCCTCCTGCTCTCAAGATGCTTTCATAGTTCCCTGAATTGGGATCTGAAAAAAAAAAATCCAGATTTCAAAAGTGTTCGCATCCTGCTGTGTCTACTACACTTCCATTAAAGTAAGGCTATTTGTTTCCCTGCCTTGAAAGATGATTATTAGATTCACAAGTGGGAGTAAGGCAAGGAGAACACACCGCAACCTTTGAGGTAATGCTTCAGGTGCTTAGAAAAATAATAATACAGTTGAAGAAATAGGGACGGCTCTTTCCTCCCTTGCCTGAAGTGTGTTTAATCACATTCTCAGCTTGTGGTGCTTAGAAATCCCCTGGTGACTCGTTTCCAACCTTTTCTGAGATGGCCACTTGGCACCTATTGGATTTTTCCACCATCAATCAGCCTAAAACCCTAGAAGCAAAGGGAAGGCTTCACAGCTACTTTCCTATTTAATTTGGTGTTGGAAACAATTAAAGAGAGATCTACATAATGTCTTTCTAGACTGTATGGGAATTTGGGTCCCATTGAAACAGCTGTATTGGGGGGGGGGCTAGGCGAATAAGGGCGTGCTAAGCCTTTCATTTTGTTCCGATGAAATGATTGATTGAGTACATCCCTTTAAGATAATACTTCTCAAAGGAAGCAGAGAAATGGACAGCATTGTATCTTCAGCTTCTTTTGAAGGTTTGAAATGATGTCGCTACTGGAGTTACTGGTCTTTTCTTTCATCTTCTAAAATCTCATATTGAACATAGTAATAGCACTTAGACCTATATACCGCTTTACAGTGCTTTACAGCCCTCTCTAAGAGGTTTACAGCCTATTGCCCCCAACAATTTGGGTCCTCATTTTAACAACCTCGGAAGGTTGGAAGGCTGAGTCAACCTTGAGCCTGGTG